AGTATCGATGCTTTTCGGTGCTTATGTTTTTTATACGAGGTGCGACAATGAAGTAATGAAACTGATTATATTGCCGCGAGTGTGGTAGCTCTACGACCTTCGCGTTCCCTTTCTCTTCTCCCGGCATCCTTCTCTTCTCCACTGATATATTTGACATCACTCCAGCTCGTTTAGTTCGCCTGCTGCTGCGTCTTGGGTATACGTGCGTTCGTCATGCTCGTCACGAAAATGGAAAAACGGCATCAAGAGCAACGCGTCGCGGTAATATTTTGCACCACATTGAGCGAAACAGCTTTGGAAACTTACGCTGAAATCGTAAAAGTGCATAGTGATAGTGCTCTTAGTAGTACCCAGCTGTTTCGATGGCATAAAGACTATAAGAAGGGTCGTGAAAGCGTGGAAGATGAAGCGTGGAGCGGGAGAAAGCGATGATTATTGCCTTTTCGATAGCCGTGGAATCGTCACGAAAAGAATTTCTTCTACAGAGGCAAACCGTATTTCAAGTCTTCTTTAGCCAAGTGCCAAAGATTACGGAAGCGTGTTAACAGGTTGCGCCCAGACATCGCTCGTAACTGGATGCTTCATCACGACAACGCGCCGTGCAACACCGCCCTCAGCGTGTGCCAATAGTTGGCTTCTAACGGGATCGCCGTGTTGCAACAACCGCCTTATTCACTCGATATGTCATCCCGTGACTCCTTTTGTTCCTTAGAACGAAATCTGTGGGCAAAGGAATAAATTTTGAGTTTATTGAGGACATTCAGGCGGCCGTGAAGAGGGTACTCGCTGACATCCCAGTCGAAGCGTTCCAGAAATGTTACGAAGCATGGAAATCGTGCTGGAATTGTTGTACAGCTACCAAAGGGGACCACTTTGAAGGGGACTGGAAAGCGTTAGAATAATTTTGCAACATAAGGTTTTAATGGAATCAGTCTCATTACTTAATTGTCACACCTCGTATATATGTAGCTGTGAAAAATACCAAATTTGACGCTCTCATATGCTTTTTTTTTTTAATCAAAACCTCATACGTGAACAAATCGGTCTAATGGGAGCCTCCGAATCTGGTGGCAAGTTCGTACTGATGACGAAAACAGTTTACAAATACTTTTTTTTAATATGCCGAGGGACTAGTTCGCGTTCGAACAGATGAACAGACAGACAACTCTGCCCGTCCTCCTCATCAGATCGGTATAGATTTTTGTGGGTCTCTCTTCTCTCTGGTACTTACATACCGTGAAACCACATTTATTCTATCATTTTACATATAAAATGTATTTTTATGTTTTCGATCAAAAATAACCATTTTATTTCAGATCACATTTCATTGATCATTCATGAGCAACAAGCGATGGGGTCTAACATCATGTATTGTTAATTGGTGGTTTTGATTCAATCTATATGTACGTCGGTGTTGCCGATCGATTGCTGGGAAAAAAAAACACTCTTACGAGCAAATTGGACATAGTCCAGCGATCCGCAGTATTCTCATTACAGGTATCTACCGTGGATTCTTTCAAAAGCCCTGAAAATTCTTTGCCTCACAAAGATCTGTCCTACTTTGACTTCAAAAAAGCTGCAAAGCAATTAAATTGAAGCCAACTCACGCTGAGCCTTAAAATAATCGCAGTATTGAGCTTACCCAAATATTATCTCTCACACAAGTTGCGGGGAGCTGGACTACAACACCTCCTACTACCGATTTATCAATCTCTTCTCTGTAAGAGTGTCGAACAGCAACGAATGGGTAAAAAAACAGGCAACTCGACTAGACTATTTTGACCTGTGTTGGGTCCTAAATGAGCTAGTTAACTCAGTTGTGAGCAGCAAACAGCAAAAAATAACATTTAGCCACCAAAAGCTAATAAGCCTTACGGGGTATCGATAAAGACCTCATTCTGACGTGCTGCACATTCAGCGACAATTAAGCAGTGTAAACGCACCTTACCGGGCTATGCACGACCGTTAAAGAACGCATTAATAAGCGGTGGCTGCAAACACCAGAGGGGCAGTGACAATTGGAAAGGATCTCTTCGACCGTTCGGTACCTAGAAATGTTTCAGGAAGGGTGACTCTTTATCGCGTGATTTATCCAATTTAATTATCATCAAGACGAAATATATTCTGTCATTAAATAAACAGTTAAAACATTCTGGACTCGGCACCCATGTCACTGTGGATAGTCATAACTTCGAGGTCGCAGACAATTTCGTCTAATTAGGGACTAGCATCAACGCCAATATTAATGATATACACGTAGTTCAGCGTATCGAGAGGCAACGGCTATGCACTCCAGCTTTAAAAGTACTCGATACAGTACCAGTGCAAAAGGAAGAGCTCCACTTCGTTGGAAGAATCAGGTGGATAGACCCATGATTTAACTTTGCATCTCCAACTGGCGCCAAACAGCGAAGGGAAAGAATTAATAGCACACTATTGTATAATCCCGTAAAGATTGTCTATGTCAACGAAGAAAAAGATGAACTAGAAACTGTAAGAACATTAAGAAGTATTTAGATTTTAGAGTCATACGCGCTCGTCCCGGCTTAACAATAAACCGAATCTGTACCCAGTGCTTGATAAATCTCGAAATATAAGTACTCTTGCTCCGAACCCTAAAATCTCTTTGAAGTATTTCATATATTCAACAGTAAAGTTTATTGCCTTGCTATTTTTCCTTTTGGGAGTATGTGTGTATATATCGAGCCCCTTAAGGTCGCAAATAAAGGTTACATTAGGGGTGCCATAACCATATCCACACAAAACAGCTGACCCATCCATCGACTTAATGGTTGACTACTGCAGACCGTTTATGACTTAAAGCATTGTCAACATTCAAGTTATTGCTTATCCGTCTGCGCAAGTAGTTGCGAGTTATTTCGAAATTTATTTAGTGGCAATGGGACAGTGTTTACTTCAAGAACATCTAGCGATCTCGCTGGAAGACCACAATCAACAAACCACATCAGCTTGGGGCATTAACTGGCATTTTATAGCTCGTAGAGGTTCCCTTTAAGGGTATAGCCGATTGCAAGTTATTATTAAGAGAGGCAATCGGTCATTCATACCAAAAGACTCTGTAATTCGAGTGCAACTTCACGCCATACCGGAGCCAGTTGTTTGGCAAGTTTCAATGTAGAGATTAAGGCAATGGCAGTGGATGCGACAACTACACCAAAAATTTCAGTCACACCCGAAAGATACAATAAGTGGTAAAAGCGCTTACCTGATATAGGAATCAATGATATCCATCTGGTGAGACTTGAAAACGAAAATTGATCACCCACTCAATGGCGCATGCGTCTAGTTATTTACTAACATACCGACCCAGTTGAAATTATTCGAATTCATTAAGAACAAGAGGTCGATGCATCAATCCGGCAGTTCAGAAGACCTTGCCCCTCTTGATGGAACTCACATACTAATCATTCAATTTGGTTGACTGAATATGGGTTTAACTAAAGCTCAGCACTTGTTCAAAGTTGTGGACAAAGAATATTGTAACATATTTCCTAGAGATGGCTCCCTGTTACTTTTTGCTATTTCTAAAAATAGTAACCGAAGGGTTAGCATTCTCAGTGCCATTCAGCCAAAATCCAAAATTATAGAAAGTTTACTTCTTCTTGTCGACCCACCGGAATTTCAAGCTCTTCGAGTTTATTTCTGACAGGGAACAAAAGCTCCTCATAAAAATCCATCCGGCGTTGGGAGGCGTTTAAAATAAACCATTTGTGGAAAAGCCATCAGGACGCATACCACAAATTAGTCACTGTTATTGATATAAAAAAAATTTAAGAGAACATAACTACAAGGTAATCGTTTTGGCGCCACAGATGACATTAAAGGCCCACTGCCAAAAGAAATAAAGTCTAACTGAAAGGTCTGGTTCGAGAGCCGTTTCGAGGTTCGAAGACTATTTTAAAGGCGACAACAGCGATTAATAAAAAAAAAATTTAATAAAATAATATAAATAAATAAATTATTATTAAGTAAATATAATATATATTCTGTTTAGAAAATGAAAGTTCACGTTATTTTTTAACATAATTTGTATATCCATTATATACATTCAGCGCTGGTATAGTCATTGAAACTTCGTCACGGATGGAAACGCCAGTTCGTGTTGGTTTTGAACGCTTTCTTTTAGTATAATACATAGTAAAATCCTCCCAAATGAGATATAAACTTATGCAAAACTGACAGTTTTTATTTAATTTCTTTACAATTTTCGAATTTAAATTCAAAATATGTGAACGAAGATATCAACTGCTTGTGGTTATGGTAAAAATAATTAATAATTACATTAAATATAGTCAAGGCTGTGATTACGGTTACAGCTATGGTCTTATGGTATGGCACCTTTACTGTAATCTTAACATCGTACCGTTAGGCACACCTATCGCTTATTATTATGGCGAATATCTATTTGAATTGCATTCTTACATCGCCTGCGTCATCAAGCTCACTTAAAGAAAGGTCTGACAGTGTTTATATTTATACTAGTGGTATGTACATACATATGTATATGTATTTCAAAATTATTTACAGACAATTTTTTTTTAATTCGTAAATATGTACGTGTGTATTTCTTTTGAATTTGTTACATTTATAAAGATTTATTGAAAAAATATTTTTATATTTTTTTTTTTTGTATTTAATTAATTAATTGATACATGTATACATACTTACACGCTTATTATATATGTATTTATAACTACCATTTGCAATTTGTGCTCATCGTAATTTTTGTGAATTTTTTTCTCTTTTTTTTCGTTTTTGAACGTAGATAATAATTCTGTTCGTAGATATTTAATTCGTAATTTAACATTCGTACAATTTGTATGTCTTGCATGTTTGTGTGCGTAGCGAAGGAAATACGATACATCGAATTTATGAAATTCGTTTAGTTTTACAATACTTTGCCAACATATTTGTATTTGTATTTGTATTTGTATTTGTATTTATTTCTATTAATATATATATATATATATATATATTTATTAATTACATTATCTATTGCGTCGATTTTCACTCTATACATATCTTTCTCTCATTCTCTCTACTTTTGTCTTTCTTCTCTTTATCTCTCTCTCTCTCTCTGTTTATGTTTCACGCTCTATGTCTTTATCTCTATCACGTTCTCTTATGAGGGTAATCACGTTCTTGGTCCCTGATAACGGCAGTATGATCTTCCCATAATATCCTCGGGCGGTATTGTTTGATCGACAGGCGGAACTTTTTTCTGCTCCATACGATCGCGCACCTTCAGTGAAATAGAAGACAAAAACCGAAAAACAAGTATATAATTATAGCGATCGATTTATTGTATAGGGCTAACCATTTTGTGGTTTCAAAAGTACAGTATTGTATTTTGACATCTTTCAAATTTTACTGTCAAACCAAACATGTTCTCTTTTAGTTGAAAGTCAGGCATATATGAATCGCTTAACGACGCATGAGCATTCTAAAAACCTACAACAAAAATGACGATTCAATCGTACGCACGTTTCGTGGTTTAAGAGGAGATTATGCTTCACATAAGCGTCCAACTACTCAAGCAAAGTGGTAAAATTTCAGAGAATTTTGAAGAGACTGTACCGGTTACAGATGTAGTAAGGCCTGTGCAACATTTTGCTTATTCTACCTCAAAAAACGCTACTGTAAGTGAAGGCCGAAACCACAAAGGTGTCTATTGTCACATTTTGGGCTCCGAGAGAAGCCAAATGATTGTAGAGAGCCCATTCCAATCAAACAAAACTTACTGTCTGGTGCGCTCTTTGGTCCGGAGGTGTGATTGGACCTTACCTCTTCGTATAATAACCGAATTTTTGTTTTGGGCTGAAATTAAGGAAAACGATTTGAACAATATGTGGTTCCAACAACACGAACGAATATGACTTCATGGCGAGAGAAATATGACGGCCGTGTAATCTTTCGTCTTGGCGGTTTCAATCGGCGACAGAAATTGTGTGATTGTACATCGTGGGACTTTTTTGTGGAGCTACCATATTATGCACTTCAAAGCCTATAAGTTATAGCTGTATCAAAAACTGGTCGAAAATTTCGCCAAACGAATTGAAGCCTACAAAAATTCTCGAGGCGGTCGTTTGGATGTTGTAGTGTTTCACATATAATGCCAAGAATCAAACTTCATAATAACAAAATGATTTAAAAAAGAAAAAAAAAACATTTATTTATTTATCAATTATTATTTTTGATACCACAAAATGGTTAACCCAGTGTATTCGACTTTGAGGTTAGAAATCGTTTTTTTTTTTCTTTCAATTTTAATTTGTTTTCGTTGCTAATTTTTTTATGTATATATGTACGTATAAGACAACTAACTGTGCCTACGGCCATTGTTGCATGATCTATGTATATATGTATGTACATACATACGTACACATTCACATACATATACCTATGTATGTACATTTGAGGTTATTGAGTCACTTTTAAATTGATTTCAAAATATATATATTTTTTTTTATTAATTATTTAAACTATATATATGGATAAACATATATATTATATATATATGTATATAGATATCTATGTGTCAGAGCTTCAAACATTTTTTAATTCCCTTATATGTATGTATATATAACATAATAAATAATTTCTTCATTTCAGTGAATTGACTGCTGAATACCTGCTGCCGATGCAATAAGCAATGAATTTGGAATGAAAGCATTAAATATAAGAAATACTCGTATATAAAATATATAAAGAATATATAAATACGCATGTATGTATATGGTAGTAGATGTTCAACGTTAACAATTTCATCCAACGTCGGTTTACCCTCAACTCTTTTGGCAACCGAAAATATATACATACGTGTATGTATGCAAGTCGTTCAGTTAGAAAACTCACCAAGCCACTGGACTGATTTAACAATTCTCCTGTTGGTGCAACACGCGTTTAGTTGATTTAACTGACTAGAATCGTCTCAAAAAAAAAAGAAAGTTCTTCAAAGAAAAATCATCGGTTACCCTGGGTTCTATTGGTACCAGATAGATCAACCACTGCGGCGGTTGATCGTTTCCCATGAAGAAAATTATTTACACACGAAGAGTTTAGTTGAATTTGAGCGATTAAATGATTACAAAGTTTCTTCGAAGTAAATAGATAAAAACAAATTCATAATTTTTTTTTTTTTTTTTTTTTTTGAAATGATCAATATAGAGAATACCATTTCCCCGAAAACTTAAAAAAAAAATACAATAATTTTTTTTTTTTTTTTTTTTTTTGAAATAATAAAATATATTTTTTTCGCTTAGACTTCACATCTTGTTACGCCACTTGGCACGAAGTTTCTGGAAAACTTTAAATTGGAAAAAAATCAAAATTCACTTTGACAACTCAAAAACATGTCATTCGCGTAGGAAAACTGTACTCGAGGCAGTTTCATTTATTTTTAATTAAAAAAGTCTGCACATTTTTTTTTAGTTATTATTTATATATTTTTTTTATTTAAAATTAATTTCAAACAATTTCTATGAAAATTTTCCTGTTTTTTTTTTTTTTTTTTTTTGTTTAGTTTCATAATTCCTTAAATGTTGACTTTCTGTGGTTTATCGGCGAAGAATTTGCTCAAATGATTTTCAATCAATTTCACATCATCCAGCAAGCTTTGCAGAGACTGGAACAAATGGCAGTGAATGTGTTTTGGCGCCTGTTGAAAATGCAAGTCGCTCTCCACCTGATCCTACCAAACGATGTGGATGTCTGCCTCTTCCTCTGTTTCCACCAGCGCGTACTGCATTGTATAATTTCAGTGCTAGAGTATTCTTATCCAACTTGACCGCAAAAAGCCAACGTAGCCGGTGTCAATTAATTCTGAGAACTATTTCAATGTTATCGTTCCATGGTCTGCATTACTCGCTGTGGCCGATGCCCAAATGGCCATGAATCTTTCACAAAACATTTCTCTCGAAGTCTCCAAAGGCCGGCTCAGCTGATGTCGATATCGTTCACGCTTTTGAATGATATGTATAACTGGACGAAAACGTTGGGAGACTTGTATGCAAATTAATAACTTACATATGTATATACGTATGATATGATACCCCCCTTCTGTTGACAAACGAATTAAGAATAACGATTTGAGGGCATGCAACTGGAATGTCCGGTCCCTTAATTGGGATGTCCTCGTAAGAATAAAGGCTGACATCACCGCCGTCCAAGAATTGCGATGAACGGTTTTTCTGTAGTACAAGATTCCAGCAAATACGTTAAGCTACTTGGCTGTTCCCTGATCGAATAATGGAATGTAAAACCAGATCGATCATGTTGTGATAGATGGAAGAGTGTTCTTAACGTGCGTACACTCCGAGGACTCAATGCTCGGTTCATTAGATACGCATGCGCCTCTGTGTATCGAAGAATGTCCGTCGACAAGCACAAAGAAAGTTCCACGTCGAGAAGCTGCAATCACAACAAACTGCCGAACGAGTTTCTACTCTGAAAGTTATCATCAGCAACTCGGTATACGGGAACTGTGGGACGACATTTCAAGGTCTTTACGTACGGCTGCAAACGAAACTATTGGATTTCGTAAAGTTCATAAAAACAGCTGGTACAATGAGGACTGTCGTGTCGCAGTGGAGAGAAATCAGACCGCTTATCTCGCAACCTTACGATCGACCACAACACGTGCGGGATGGGATATATAACGAGAGATGAAGAAGGAAGCAAGACGCAAGGAAAATGACCAAGATGCATGAGTATGAAGAGCTTGAAAAGCTGGCCGACAAGGGTAATGCTCGGAATTTCTATGAGAAGATGCGACGACTTACGAAGATCGTAGCAGATTCTTGTAGAACACAAAGAGATAATCTAGCCACCGACACCCAGAGTATATTGAATTTATGGAGGGAACACTTCTCCAGACTGCTGAATAGCAGTGAGATTCCGGAGATGATGAACCCGAAACCCCAATTGACGATGATGTAACAGACCTTCCATCACCTGACCAAGAAGAAGCTCGAATGATAATCGCCCGCTTAAAAAACAATACAAAAACAACAAAGCGGCGGGAGCTGACGTCCTCAGGACAAACGGTTTCAACTTAAGTGTGCTTTGTCTAATCAGTCTGCGCCAATTATCGTGGGATAAGTCTCCTTAACATCGCGTATAGGGTCCTATCGAGCGATTTGTGTGATTGGATCTTATCGGTGTAGCTTTAGACCCATTAAGTCAACCATTGACCAGACATTCACCATGCACCAAATCTTGGAAAAGACCCGTGAAAATAAGAGCGTCACCCACCACCTCTTCGCCGATTTTAAAGCCGCCTTCAAGAGCACGAATTGTAGCTATATGCCGCTATGCCTCAGTTTGGTATTCCCGCAAAGCTAGACAGCACCAAAAGCGCAGTCAGAATTGGGAAGGAACTCTCCGAGCCGTTCGATACCAAACGAAGTTTCAGACAGGGTGATTTCTTATCGTGCGACTTTGTACTGGAGAAAATATTACGAGCTGCAGAGCTGCATAGAGAAGGTACAATCTTTTATGGGAGTATACAGCTGCTGGAATACGCCGCTGATATTGACATTATTGACCTCAATAGCCACGCCGTGAATTCTGCTTCCTTCAGACTGGATAAAGAAGCGCAGGATATGGGTCTGGTAGTGAACGATGGCAAGGCGAAATATGTTCTATTATCACGCAAACAGTCATCGCATTCGCTACACGGTTCCCACATCACTGTTGACAGTCATAACTTTGAAGTCGTAGACAATTTCGTCTATCTAGGAGCCAACATTAACACCAATAATAATGTCAGCCTGGAAATCCAACGCAGAATCATTCTTGCCAACAGGAGCTACTTTGGACTGAGGAGGCAATTGAATTGAAAATAAAGTCCTCTACCGACGAACGAAAATCAAACTCTACAAGTCTCTCATCGTTCCCGTCCTGTTAGATAGTGCGAAGGCATGGACAATGACAACCCAGCTTTCAGGCCTGATACATCTTTGATGATCGGACAATATTGGATGGAGCTTTGTTGTTAATTATTGATGCACCTTGCGGTCCTTAAAAATAATTGGCCCACCGCAGAGTCACTAAGAAGCATTTCAGCGAGTTCTTGGCCGTTAAATCACAGAAGTTCTACGCTAATGGAATTCTGAACCTATCGAAAAAATAACTAAAGGTCAAGGTAATAAATATCAATATGAGCTTGATTAAAATTAATTTTCGTAAAAGAAACAATTCGTTAAAAAAAAACAGAAAAAACTATTTGAATTATCAATAGTT